CTGGACCTGGTGGTTTGCTTTCTCACTTTCTCTCTCTTTCTGTGTGTGTGTGTGTGTGTGTCTGTGTGTCTGTGTCTGGTCAAATTAAAATAAATGAATGAATAAATAAAATTAAATAAATAATTCTTTAAAAAATAAAATAAAAAAGTCCCGTTAACATTTTTTTTTGCATGTGCTATATTGAAGTCCTAGAGTCTGTGTTGCACAAAACTGTTTTGTCAGTCAAGGATCTTTCATGAGGCAAGTTATTTTAAGTCTAGTTACAGTAACTTTTTTAGGATGGTGAGTTCATTTATCCCTTTCTTTGTGTATTTTCATGAATGACCAGGAGTCAAACATAATTCATATATAATTAGTTGCTGTAATAGATATAATTAGATACTATGTCTATGAAGAAATGGTCTTGAAATTCATTTTTGAGGAGCCAGCAGGTGGTGGGGTGGTTAAGGCACTGGTTTCCCTCATAGTTGACCACTGTTTGAGTCCCAGATCTGACAGCTTGAAGATCATGCTGGGCATATGTGCGTGTTTGTCTCCAAAATCCCAGGAGGAGAAAGGAGAAGGGATTGTGGCATGGCCATTACCCTCTGGACTGAAATTTTATGATTTCACATTAAGGGTCAGTTCTGCTGCCTTATAAAACTTATGAATGAATTCAGTGGATAGAATCTAGATTTTAGACATCTGGAACATAAATGTCAATTTACAATGCATATTGTTTTGCACTTACTTTTTTAATTTATTTTTTATTTTACTTATTTTTTATTATTATTCATACATTAAATCACTATCGATAATTTAGATTGTAAAGAGACCTTACCCAGCATGATATACACCTCAGTCCAGCCCAGTTGAGACTGCCATACACCTCCTCGTCAACAGATAATAAACCTTACCTGTGTTCCACAAGGGTCTTACCTCTCCATTTTCCCCCTTTTTTAAATCACATTTTTAAAAATCCTTTCTACATGTTACCCTTGTAGAATCATAACCATTAATACCATATTCTAAATGAATTGATAAACAGGGAAAAATTCAGTTTAAAAAAAATATTAGTCTTTCTTTTGAACATTGTCAATAAATGTTTGAATTGTTAAAAAAAAAAAACTGGCTTATTTATTTATTCTATGACTGAGAGGAAAGATAGGGAAATAGACAGAAAGAGACAGAGATACAGCACCTCTGACAGGGTCCAGAAGTCATAATACACCTCCAGCCTTAGCCTGCCCCGGTCATACATGTACCCAGCATGTGTGAAGTGATCTGTGGACATGAACCAACAGCCTTCTCATGTGGATCTGCCTCACGTAGTATCTTGTTTTACTGCTGCACTATCATTGGGCCCCATATTTGAATTTTAAATCAGCTTTTTAAAATCCTGTTAACTTTTTTGGGGACCAGCAGGGGCATGGTGGTTAAGGCACTGGATGCTCCCACATGGCCGACCACAGTTCAAGTCCTGGACCTGGTGGTTTGCTTTCTCACTTTCTCTCTCTTTCTGTGTGTGTGTGTGTGTGTGTCTGTGTGTCTGTGTCTGGTCAAATTAAAATAAATGAATGAATAAATAAAATTAAATAAATAATTCTTTAAAAAATAAAATAAAAAAGTCCCGTTAACATTTTTTTTTGCATGTGCTATATTGAAGTCCTAGAGTCTGTGTTGCACAAAACTGTTTTGTCAGTCAAGGATCTTTCATGAGGCAAGTTATTTTAAGTCTAGTTACAGTAACTTTTTTAGGATGGTGAGTTCATTTATCCCTTTCTTTGTGTATTTTCATGAATGACCAGGAGTCAAACATAATTCATATATAATTAGTTGCTGTAATAGATATAATTAGATACTATGTCTATGAAGAAATGGTCTTGAAATTCATTTTTGAGGAGCCAGCAGGTGGTGGGGTGGTTAAGGCACTGGTTTCCCTCATAGTTGACCACTGTTTGAGTCCCAGATCTGACAGCTTGAAGATCATGCTGGGCATATGTGCGTGTTTGTCTCCAAAATCCCAGGAGGAGAAAGGAGAAGGGATTGTGGCATGGCCATTACCCTGGCAGGTGATTTCTCACTTTCTTTTCTCTGTCTCTCTCTCTGGCAAGTGCACATGCCCTATGCCAAAATTTGTAGAAAAGAAAAATTCATTTTTGAAATACTAAATTTGATTGTTTAATAAAGAGTCTTCCCATCTCAATGTTCCCAAACCAAACTGTGAGGACAGTTAAAAATCTAAGCTTCTAGGTTTGCAGGACATGGTCATTTAGAGCTTTACTTTGGATCCTGGCTCTAAGCCAAATACACAAAAGTGTTAAGAAATAAAGATATTTCTGGTTATTCCCAGAAAGGACCACAATGGATATAGAATAACATTTAACCTTGGTGATAGCTGTCAGTTATTTTTTCTTCAGAAATAAAAATGGAAGGATATGTGATGTCTTTATTTAGCTCACTCTTGGAGTAAAAAGTGTTCCTGCAAGATCTGGAACTATGTCTACATAGTTTATCTCTAGTACTAGACCATAATAAGGAATTCACTAACTTATACATAGTGCAGCTTTAAAAATTTTTCATTTTAATCTAAATGTGGGGAACAGCTGTCAAGAGTTCTGAATAAAGAAACATGTTACAACATAAAAATGGTTCAAACAATTTCATTATTTATCTATTGAGTCAGCCAAAATGTAAGTTCTTTCCTAGTCAATTACCTTTCCTGGCAGATATGATTATAACTTCTTGTTCAGTCTTCTCCTGTCTGTGACGCAAAGAGATACTGTGTTTAGTCCAATCCTTTCTTTGGCGGCAGTCAAGGCACACACTGAACAACAGCGAAGGAGACAAGAGCTCACCACAGAGCATGGCACTGTGATTCACGGTGCTCTAACTGTGGGCTAAGAGAGGATGAGTTATTCATGGTTGGTAGAAGCTTGTTCACATATCCCCATTCAAAGATTCTGCAGATCTTTGTGGCTGGTGAGATTTCCACATTATTGTGAGCTTTCTGATAAAAAGCTGAAGCAAATTCTGCTCCATTGTCACTGTGGAAGATACATGGGGCACTTAGCAAGCAGAAAAAAATATTATCTGGTATGTTCCCCTAGTTGCAGTTAGGAGGTGGTGGTCTCAGTGCACAGACATTGACCAAAGGGATGTCCAGATGTGTAACATTCAGTACCCACTCTGCATCTGATGTATGTATAAGAGCAACAGTCTACCAGGTCTGATACGAGGGCACCCTTCGTAGTGGCTTGGCTAGTGTAGCCTGGCAACTTGTCATCTGGTATTCAAGTGATAAAAAATAAATGAAAATTGGTTTTCTGTTGCCCTGAATATCTCCAGTCCTGGCTACTATTCATAGAAATGAAGCTTTCTTCAAATGCTTGCTTTAATCATGCTTATAATGAAGTCTATGTTTAATTTATTTGCTCATTTCAGAAACCTAAGGGGAAAATTATATTTATAAAGTCATATGCAGTAATTATTTTTACATGCTCTGTATACACAAACTCTATGTATATACCAAAATATCATTTTATACATTAATTCAGAAATTTAAGAATTAGGTTGAAATGATTAACTCCTCTCCTTATAAAAATTAACTATGAGAGATCTAATTGGAAATCTTAGTAGCCAGATCTGCTTAAAACAATATTGACCATAACCATTCTTCTTCCTCTTCTTCTTCTTCTTCTTCTTCTCCTTCTCCTTCTCCTTCTCCTTCTCCTTCTCCTTCTCCTTCTCCTTCTTCTTCTTCTTTTTTAAGGCTTTTGTCATCGACCTCAGGTACTCACTGGACAGAAATAGAGAGAGACAGTAAGAGGGAAAGTAAAAAAATCATCCCTTAAGGTGGTAGCCATGTCACAATCCCTTCTCCTTCATTCTCCTCTCAGGATTTTGGGCATGAATTTACACTGCCTACCCAAAAGTTTCAAGCCACTGGGTCTGGGACTTGAACCACAGTTGGCCATGTAAGAGTCCATCTCCTTAACCACTATGCCACCTGCTTGCCTCGTTATTATTCTTTCATTTTTCCCAAATCTCATTTTACCCCAAATCACATATTTCATGGAACTTACATGCTATATTAAACATGAGAAAATCTATCTTCATTGTGAGAACAGATAGGATCATTTTTGTATCACAGACAGCTTTCAAGAAAATTATACTAAATGTATTTTGTATGCTACTGTATATTCACTCAAGAGAAATGATTCTCGAAAATAAATGCAAAGGTGAAAATATCTTCCTGTAAGTGTCAAATAACAATTCAATATTTTATTCTAACAAACTAGGAAAGTAGAATTTGACTGGGAAAACAGTATAAATTGTATTCTTCTGTGTTATTTTATTACCTCTAGAGCATTATAAGTCACTGAAGATATGGGCAAAGCATCAGAATTAAAATGACTCTTTTAGGAACCAGCAGATGGCATAATGGTTACATCTCTGGACTCTTCATAGTTAACCATGGTTTGAGTCTCAGACCCAGTGGTCTAAAACTCACACCATACCAGTATGCCCAAAATCCCAAAAGAGAAAGGAGGAGAAGGCATTGCAGCATGGCCATGGAGGCGTTGCAGCATGGCCATGGAGGGGAGGGAGTGATATCTCCCCTTCTCTCTCTCTGTCTCTCCAGCAAGCATATGTGTCCTATAGCAAAAATCCCTCTGAAAAAAAATCACTCTTTTAGGTGGGAACATGTGAGGATTGTAGGGTATGGAAAATCCCTAAGGACATCAGTGGCTCTTGTTATAATTTGGAAGAACCCAAAGAATAGCACATATGACCCTAAATATTGTTTAAAGACTTTAATATTTTTAGAGTTTTAGGATCACAGTGAAGGGGAGAGGAGGGCACAGAATATGCCCTGTGCTCTGTCCTCCCTGCCTATGCAGAGCTGCCCTTCTATGGACAGCCCGTACCAAAGTGGTATGTTTGTTGTAGTTGATGAACTTTCGTTGACACTGTGGATTTTAAACTTTTTAAAGGAGGGTGACTTTTTCCCCCCATAGGATTACAGAGTGAATATCTTTCTTCGTCAGAAATGGAACGATCCTCGCCTTGCATACAGTGAATATCCTGATGACTCATTAGATCTTGACCCTTCCATGTTGGACTCCATTTGGAAACCTGATTTGTTCTTTGCCAATGAAAAGGGTGCAAACTTCCATGAAGTCACCACAGACAACAAATTGTTAAGAATTTTCAAAAATGGGAATGTCCTTTATTCAATAAGGTGAGTCATAGACTTAAATTCCTGATTTCATCAAATAGAGTATTGGGTTTTGTTGCTTTTTGTTGTTTGTTTGGTGAGACTTTGAAATTTTTAAACAAGTACTATTATTGTCCTAGCTAAGTTCCTCTATTATGTTACCTTTTAAATATGTCTGATCAACAGAAACAGATCTAAGTTTCAGACGCAGGAACCGTATGAGTAATTCTTGGAAATTACTTTCGAAATTAGTGGCCCCAGGTGATTCTTAACAGACAAGTTGAAAGGAATCTTAAAAGTAAATTGAAAGGCAGCTGAATCATACCTTGTAATTTCTGTGTAGACAGACCTCCTTTAAATATTTATAAGTGAAGAAATGTTTAGGCTTGCTTTGTCTGAGATCCGTTTTAAATAAATTATTTTTCAGGTACATGTATTTTTTAGATATCCTTGAGCTCTTCTGGATATTCTTCTACTTTTTTTTTTGCACTAGCTATCCAGTTTTCATTCTTTTTAGTGTACTGCAAAGTGGTGACTTATTGATGAACTTTTAAGGAAACAAAAGGAAAAAAGTCAACGTAATATGTAAAAAATGGATGATAATCAAAACCTTTACCACCATCCCTGGAAAAGATCTTATTTATATTTTCATTATCCACTATACATTCTCAAAAGACTATGTAGCATTTAAAAAATGATACTGAAATATAACAATAATTAATATCAAAACACAAACACTAGTACAATTTCTCATACTATAAAACTGATTCAACTTTGGGAATTTATTACACATCATGTAGGTAAGATTCAGTAAATAGTTGCTTAAAGTGATATACTTGGTGATTTGTATATCTGAAAAATCTTAAAAAATGATTATATTAAAAATCTTGTATAGTTTTTTTTTTAATTTGGAAAGAGGGAGTCAGGAACAAAATTTATGTTTTTCAGGAGAGAGAGAATATGCCCTACTTAGCATAATAGGCAACTCTTTAAGCATCTATATCACTAGTAATATGTTTAAAAAGAACATCAAGGTGGTCTTAATATTGAGGCTTTGGCTTAAAATTAATTCCTCATAGTTTATCTCTCTCTTATTGTTCTGTTTTTTACTTTTCTTCTCACCAGGAATGGAGATAATTGATTTTGAGTGCATCTGTCCAATATCAGGGACATTTTTATTTTTGTCATGTAATAGTATAAAATAAAGTAGTATAATAGAAAATTTAATCTTAGTTGCTTGGTGATTTTAAAAATATTTTTCTGTAAAATGGTTTTATAAATAATGCTATATCCTATGTCTACTTTTCATCTCTTCATCCCAATATCTTATGCCTGCTTTTCACATTTTTCTATTTCATGTGAACAAATTTCCTTTCTATAAATTTATTGTTTCCTAAGAGTGACAGGGGTGACATCAAGCTAGGATGAATTAACACTCTCATCACACTTCTGAAAACCAACTAATATGTGTTAATGTGATCTTGAGTGAGTAATTGCTAAATATGACATAAAGGAAGATTTCAGGTTCCATCACTATTTAATCCCTATAGTCCCATATGGATCAATAATTTAGTGGTGAATCCCAGGTCTAAACAAGAGAATTTTGAATTTCTGTGAATACTTGTAAAAAGGCATAATTATCAAAAGCTAGTAAGAATTTTGCTTCTGGGAAGATGGAGTAGGCATTCTTTTCTCTATTTTTCCTGCTAAGTACCAATAAACACCTGGATATATGTAATAAATTAAAGAGATTTCCAGGGGTGGATATAAAAAGACAGACTGTCTAAGGACCTTGCAACCTAAGAAGCAATGGAGAGGTGATTTTCCAGGCTTTTCTTCTTGCCTTATGTGTTGCAACTTAGGAGGTTAAAAGGCTGACAACAAAGAAATATCAAGAAGTACAAACAAAAGTCTTAACAAAACTCTAAAGTCTTTAGCCAATCTAACATTCTATAAATGTTAGGAATAGGGCATCCTAGCAAGACAGAAGACATTGAGGCAACTGCTTTACTCCATCCAAGCACTGCAAAGGAAAAAAAAATGTGAGCACCTCCCAACACCCATCTCAAACCAGAAAAGTCCAATTGGGGGCTTACACGTCTAATCTTGCTGGACTATGATGAAGTACCCCAACATAGTATAATAACATCACAGGTCACTAATCATAGATCACCAGAACAGAAAATAATAATGAAAAAGTTCGAAAAGGTGTGTGAGGTACCAAGATGTGACACAGACATGAAGCAAGTATATGCTGTTGTAAAAATGGGGCTGATAGACCTGTGTGAGGCAGGGGTACCACAAACCTTCAGTTTGTAAAATTGTGCAAGGCACTATAAAGTGGAGCACAGTGAAGTCAGGTTACACACATGGTTATGTTTTCCTATTGTCCTAATCACAGAAATACCTGAATCTGGGTAATTTAAGAGAGTAGAGATTCATTGAGTTTATGGTTTCAGAGGTTGAGAAAGCCAAAGACATATTTGCATCTAAATTAGAGTCTTACTGAATTACAACATGGTGGAGGGCAGGAGTGTGTCCAGATCAGAACAAGCCTCTGTCTCATTCTCTCACTTTATCGGCCCCCCAGGATTCAGCCATGGGAGTCCCCTCCTAAGGCTCCACCATAGCTAGATTAAGTCTCTTCTTAATACCTTCACAATACAACCAAATTCCAACAGGTATCTGAGGGGACACATTTTAGCCATAGCATATTTATAGAAATATTTTAAATAAAAATCAAGGTGTTTTTCTTCAGTGTAAATGCATTTTGTAGGCTTTTTCTTATGAATCCAGGTAAGTCTATCTTGCCCAAGGTATTTCATGCTACATTTAAGCCGTTCCATTGTTAATGAATATGTAGGTGCTGCTGTTATTTAGGTGTGACAGGAGCTATCTTCGTATTTTACGACACATGAACACATAAGGTATTTAGATTCCTAGAAATGCAATTGCTGAATAGAAGGATAACTGACTCCTACATCTTTTATATATCTGAAGAAATCATCTTCCCATTAATATCATGTCTTATGTCTACAGAGAAGGTATTAGACCACGCTACATATTACCAATCTTGTTCATTTGTGTCAATGTATTTTTTAAAAAGTGCTTTCAGATTTGTTATTTTCCTCTTCTGCCTACACTAGTTTTATAATTTTTGTTTCAACTCTCAAACATAATTTAGAAAATTCAGGATAAGAAGAAAAGTTTATGGTATTTACACTTTTTTTTCTCATTATATCTTTTTTCTTTTTCTATATTCCCTACACACTCTATTTTTAAAAACTATTTCCTTTCTGTTTAGAAAACTTTGTTAACTATACTTTTAGGGTAGATTTACTAGTGATAGCTTTTCCTTATCCTGAGAAATTCCTTATTTTCCCTTCATTCCTTATTTTATTTCATTATTTTTGAGAGAGAAAGTTTTGCTATAGGGCAAATGTGCTTGCCACAGAGACAGAGAGACAGAAGGCGAGATAGCGCTTCACAGGGGCATGGCCATGCCACAATTCCTTCGCCTCAATTCTTCTCTCAGAATCTTGGCATCATGGACATGTGCCCAGTGTGAGTTTCAAGCCACCATATCTGAGACTCGAACCACAGTCTTCATGGGCATCCAGCAATGTAGCTATTACACAATCTGTCGGTCCCCCCTTCATTTCTGAAAAATACATTCACTGGGCACAAGATTCTAGTATGAAAGTTTATTTCTTTCAGTACCTAAAACATATCTGTCATTTATTTCTGGCTTCCATAAAACAATTAGAATGGTAGCATAAAAAGTATGTCATTTTTCTACAAGTAAGATGTCATTCTTCTCTGGGTGCTTTAAAGATTTTTATCTATTTTTAGATGTTTGTGCATTATTTGTCTTGGTATGGATATCTTTGAACTTATGCTGGAGACTTAACTTCTTTCATTATAGGTTTATGCCTTTCACAAGATTTATAAAAATTTTCAGTTCTTCTAATACTTTTTTAATCTATGTATTCTTTCCCCTCTATTTGAAGCTTGAATATATGAATATTAGATTTTTTTAATACTTCCACAGGACTTTGGAACTATTTCTAATATCCCTCAATTATTATTTCTCTGTTTTTTGGGGGATAATTTTTTTTATTGTATTTTAGGACTCACCAAGTTTTTCCTTTGTTTTCTTCATTTTTCTGTTGAGTCCATCCACTGAATTTTTATTTTGGTTATCGCATTGTTAAGTGCTAAAATTTTCATTTGGCTTCACTTTACGGCTGCTATTATTTTCATTCATTTCAAGTGTATTTGCAATTCCTTATTGAAGTATTTTTATCATGCCTACTTTTAAGTATCACACTTATGACATCTCTGTCATTTTGATGCTATCATCAGTTGACAGTCTTTTTAATATTTTTAATGCAGTTTGGGATCTTTCTGGTCCTTTGATGAATGATTTTTGACAGAAGCCTAGACATTTTAATATTATTTTATGAGACTCTAGAATTTACTTAAATTTTCTGTTCTAACGGTATTTCTCAGATTTTGCTCTGTCAAGGCAAGAGAGGAGTGCTACATTGTTTCTTCCAGCTGGAGGTAGAAGTTCTGGTTGTTATTGCTGGATATTTCAGCATCCCACAAGGCTTTCACTGATGCCATAGTAGGAGTCTCTCATTATTGATGTTAAAAGTCTTAACTCTTGGGACCAGCAGGTGGTGTACTGGTTAGGGTGCTGGATTCCCATTGGCTGACCTCTGTTTGAGTCCTGGACTTCACAGCTTGAAATTCAAGCTAGGCAAGTGTGCACATGTGCCCAAAATCCAGGGGGAAGAATGGAGGAGAAGGGATTGAGGTGTGGCCATCCCTGCTAGGGAGTGATTTCTCACTTTTTGTTTCTCTGTCTGTTTTTGTGTGGCAGGCACACTCACCCTATAGCAAAAATTAAAATTTAAAAAAAAAAATCTTAACTCTCCACTAGGACTTTTCTGAAACTACTCCAGGAGGAAGGGAATGCCTTGTTTCTGGAGGGTGAAGGTGAAAGAGGGTAAGGCGCT